CCATTTGGGCGAGATTATTTAATAACAATTTATAAATAATTGTAAAGCGAGCGCAACATAGCAAAAACGAAACAGAAAGCGAGCATCAACAGTGCGAAAATTGCCAATTTATTTTGTTATCAATTTTTTTCCCAAAGTTTTGTTTGTTTAGTGCCAAAAAGTACAACAAAAAAATAGAAAATACGGTATTCGTAATACGAAAATGCGCTGCGGCACATAAAAAAGATGCCTATAAGTAAATCTTGGCTGTCGAAAATTGCGGAACGCAACAGAGGGGGCGGAGTGGCTGGAGGGGAAGGTTGTAGCAACTATTTTGTTGCGTTTGCCGTTAGCAGTACCGTTACATGTGCTGGCGTGTATAAACATTGCCGTTACATACGCCACACGGCAGCCATATTGTTGATGCACTCATAACGCATACGCAATGTGGACCCAACTTCCGGCTAAGCAGCATTTGATTCCTTTGGCGATTTCAAAACTCCCAATATTTACACCAAGTGTTTGTGAGCGTAAGAAAAATATACCCAATTCGGTAATTGCTTTAATAACCTAAAGTGCTAAATTATTTTGCACTTATGCTAAATGCTAAATTGCTAAATTTCGCAGTGCAACTCAAACTTTCTTGTTGTTCCTTAAGCAAGCGAGCAGAATTCTAAACTTTTTAGAAATTGTAGAGACTAACAATCAATTTATGATATGCTGTTGAAATTGTGTCTCCAAGAATTGCGATTGTATTGCAATTTACAAGAAAAGACACCCAATTATGCCACGTTTTCCAGCGTTGAAGCCTTAAATTTATGTCTTGTATGTGTAGATATCTATTGAATATTTTGAAAAGGCATCCCTGCATTGTGGGCAAATTTGGGTTACTTCTCGCCACTTGGCTAACACAGATACACACAGACACAGAGGCCCTGCAGAGGATGCCGTTATAAACAAAAGGCTGGCTAACATCTGTGCCAAAGCATTTCCCATTTGCCCATGTGTGTGTTTTCGGTGCTACTTGCTGCTGTTTGTGCGACATTTGAATGAACAGATGTGTATGCGAGTGTATGTCAGCGCTCTAATTTTCCAACTGCCTATTCTTTGGGGAAATCCCACTCAAAAAAAATAGTGCGCAGTGTCCACAGAAATTCTGGGAATCGGGGAAAGCCCGGAAAAATTAAGCACACACTACAAAAATGGTTCGATAACTCCGCGATTCGCGACTTTAATGTCGTGTGAATTGCACTCGATTTGGTGGCACAAACAAAGCAACAGCAACAGGAAAAAATTGTGCTTAGTAAGTAATTATCCAGTCACGCCATGGCTCCTGTTTTCTTTTTGTATGTGTGGCTTGTATCGATAAGACCGCTACAACAAAAACAAAATCTAGAAGCCACTACAGTAAAGTCAGCTTAAAGCCAACTTTTCATAGCTCTCAAGTGCGTTATGTAGTATATGTTTGATCAAGAGAACTTAAATAGGCCAAAAATAAATCCAGCTAACCATTTTGCATTTTCAGGAATTTAAAAAGTGATAGATTTTTAGTAAAGTCCGTTAAAATGTTAAGCAGCACGCGAAACTTTACAAGCTCCAGCATTGGTTTATACCTATTAAGTTAGACTGTAGTTCCCCCCACTTGGAAGTATAAAAATTGCTGATGGGGCAGTGGGAAATGGTTATGGGTTACATCCTTGCCTTGCCCCTGGGTTTCGGGCTAACCTTGTTGATTCAAACTCGATTCGACTTGACTCCGCCTCCCTGGCCCTGATGGGAATATAATGCAGCCAAGATTTGGCCAGGGGGCGGGGGTTCCACGAGGGACTTTGACTTTGGATTCGTGTGAGACATGTAATTCCAATATGACATGCCACGTGTCACCCGATATGGCCGCTGATATGGGATGTGGGATATAGGATATGGAGAATGGAAATTGGGAAATTGCATAAGCTGGCGTGGGCAGGAATTGAAGTAGTGCACACACATGAAAACTTAACGTTGATTGTGGCTTTTAATAATTGAACTGAATGCCACTTAATGCGAGCTCAAACTAAAACTGAGCGTACTCATTTGTAATTAAACTGGAGATCAAGGACAATTAATTAACTAGCGCCACACATCGGAATGGGTAGCTTAAATGCATATGCTTACTAAGTCCTTGCATAAAGCGAGGATTTGTTTGGAACATATTTCTGAATTGCTTTAAGGAGATTGAATATCCCCCGAAATATCCATTTCATTCTATGTGGACACCCATTGATTTCTTGCCCATTGTCGGCAAACATGAAGTGCGGCAAGGGGTATATCCGGTTCGGTATCCTGCTTCCTGTTTCCTGTTTCCGGAAAGGGCATCATTCGCCCCTCTAATCGATTATCGAATGCTTTATGCACTTTCCCAAAATTCCGCATCACATACATATGTACATCCACGCATACATATGAACATTCCCAGTAGGCCGGTCAACGCGTCAGTGGGTCACGGTTCGCTGTCCCGCTCTCTCTTCCACGCTGGGGAAAGCCGAAAAACGAGAAAGAGAGAGAGGGAGAGATGGAGGAGAGTGAGGGAAATGGGGAAAATGGGGAAAATGGAGAGAGAGAGAGAAAGCCGGAGAGGAATGCGGCATATCGACCGGTGTTGGTGTCACGCCATGCTGCGGTTGTTCAAAAAACAAGAAAACGCTACAACAATAATACAAAAATAGGGTAAAAAAGGAAAGCACACGAGCACATGCATAACGAATATGCACATGTGTGTATTATATATTTATTTTATTATTTGCACTTTTGGCTACTGTGCGCTGTGTGCCAAAAAGGCGGAATACCAAAGCAGCTTGTTGTTTTTCCAGCCTATGGCATGTCCTTTGAGAAAAACACACACCCACACACACGCATACACAGGCACGGGTGAGGAAAAGCCCACTCACGCACACAGAGACAGGCATGCATGTAGTTGCAGTTGCAGTTGCAGTTGCAGTCAAGGTTGCCTTGCTGTGGATGATGTTGCAGCTAGAAAGTAGCAGCCAAGTGGCTCAAATTGGATTTTTCCGCATGTGTCCGCCCCACAGTCGCCCACGGACGCACACATTTTCCACAGCCCTTGTTTGCCCATTTTTATGTGGCTCACATAATTAGGATCCAGAAGCTGACACCGTAAACCAGTTGTCTTTTGTGGCTGCCATAAGCTTGTAAACAGCTTAGAGACGCCTGGCCTTCGGCAGAAACGATCCGAAAACAAACAAAGAGAAGAGGAAAAAGGGAAAACGGAAAACGGGAAAATGGGAAAAACACATTTTCCAATTCGTGCACGAGTCAAGGTCGCCGCAACACAAAATGCCAAGCAGAAAGCGGCAAAAGATAATCGCCAATGATGCGATTTTAAGTGCAGACAGCCAAGTGTCAGCAGAAATCAAACCGAAAGGGTTAAAGGCGAACATATCGCAGGAAAAGCCAGAGGAAAATCGAAAGAAACAAAAAAACTACAGCGCCATGGGAACTGATTTGGTTTGACACACGTGTAATGGCCAAAAGGCAAGCTGATGAAACAAAATGGCAATAAATGCATTTCTCGTGTTTTCATTCCACGCGCGCGGAAAACCCAAGCTCCCCAGAAATGATTGCACGCCACGCCAATTTTGAAGCCTTACAAATGCATTTAAATGCCAAAGTTATTGGCCATTCACTGTAATTGTGCTATTGTACGCTCAAACAGTATTCTATTATTTATACTCAAAAGGCTTGAGTGCATTAGTTCCATTAATTTGCCATGTTTCCCGCTTGTTTTTTACAGCATAAAGATCTTAAAACTGGCATTCACCTTGAAACTTTGAAACCTTGCCAAATCAATTTAGTAATTAGTGCCTGATACGTGTTGATGCCCATTTAGCTCATCAGTTTCGAGTGCTTATCAAGCACTTGGGGAATAATCGGGGCTAACAAGGTAAATAAGGGCAATGAGAATATGGTAAGAATGTGGCAGGCTTCTCATTTTTAATACTATACAACTAGGCATGTGCCAATGTTTCCATTTATTTTTGTATGTGCTCAGTCAACTGGCATTGTGGCCTAGAAATGGGAAACTTTGGAACTTTTTACCCAGATGCAGCCTACAGATGGTCATTGTTCCCTGGAAACTAGGCTGTACTGTAGCTCGCTATCAATTTATTCCTCTCCACTTACACTTGAAGTAGGATCCTAGGAAATGCCAGCAAAAACAGCGTTGCTTATCATGTATATCAGATAAATAGCAAAGCGGCAACAAAGAAAAACTGCGCGGAAAACAGTAAAAGTTGTATTCTACAGCAAAAGCAAATGAGAAACTCGCAAAATGAAATTGCAGCCCTGTTGGCCAGTGTAATCACTGTGCCCTGAATTTAGCTACCTGTGGAGGTGTCAGTTTTATTGTGTAAAGCGTTGCATAAACGTCAAAAGTTAGTTTGAGACCGGGAAAGGGAAATGCAGGGGAAAGCGAGTGCAAATTGTGCCTTGTTCTTGTTCTTGTTCTTGTTCTTCTTGTGGTGTCAAATACACCGGTCGTGGTGAAAAGAGCTCTCTCTCTCTCTCTCTCTCTCTCTGTCTCTCTCTTGCCCCCTCTCGCTCTTGCGTTTTCCCAGAGGAAAATAGTGCATTTTCCAAATTGATCAAGCTAATGAAGACGGAAAAGCTGTCTGAAGCGATTGTGAATCATTGTCAAGGTTAATCTATAATTAAACTTTGATAGTGGGAAATCAAGAGAAGACGCCATCGATTCATCTGGGTATATCGTTATAGATAGATTTGTATCTGTGCTTTGACACGAGGCGGATTAAATGAACCTCGGGCGAGCTAAAATTAACAGCCATCAAATTTCTATTTATGTTTTCGGGCATTTGGGTTTTATGCAAAGTGTGACCTCGAAGTAAGGAATTTCGGACTAGAATTGGCAACTCAAAATTAAACAAAAATAAATTATATTTCGTGTAAAATGAAAAATTCATTTTTATGTATTGATTGTATAAAATTTGTATGCAACATTCGATTTTGCTAACAAGTCGGCAGGTGGTTCCATTTATCTGCCAATTGCCCATGAAGTTTACGGTCAGAATATTTTCTCTTCTCGATTCGCTCGCCAGTCTTTCCTTTTTTCTCTGAGTGTGGTGAAAAGCTCTTTTTCTCTCGCTTTCTCTGTAGAAAATGTTATTTTTTTGCCTTGTTTCGGGTTCTTAATTATTGTGACAAAAGTTTTGGCAAAGTTTCGATAAAGTTTTTTTGTATTTTTTGGCACAAAGATTAATGCGTTAAGAATACGTTTTTCTATTTCTATAGTAGAGGAAATATCTTCAATAGCGACAAGAAAATAAACATTTATTTGACTGGACTTTGCCTTAAAAGTATGCTATTTAGAAAACAAAATCACATGTGATTTGTAGTCCAGTCTTAGTAGTATAATAAAAAACAAAATCAAACAAAACAAATGCAGCAGTGAAATGGAAAATTCTTAACTCAAAACAACAATAACTGTGGGCTGGTTATAAAACATACTTTAAAATAATGATAGACTTTCAAAGTAATCATATCATTAAAAATAACAGATATGCGAAAGCAACAGAAATGCATATAATTTTGGAGAACCTACAAACATTAATCAATTAAATAGGTAATAGCTAATATATGTTGAAAGTACTACATAAAGCAAATGCACCTATAAACCTTTAACTAAAAATAATAAATACTGACATTTAACAAATAGCTGAAACAATAGCAGGCATTTTCAATGCCAAAGTAAATTCGATTAGAAGTCCAAAAACGACAAAAACAATAAAGAAACACATAAAAACCTTGCAACTATTTTAATGGGAATCAAATGCCTAAATAAATAACAGAATCAATTTCAATGAACACGCAGTAGCTAAATAAATATGAAGCATGTGCAACCGTAAAACAAACAATGGCGTCCAATAGTGCTTAAAAAATATAAATAAATAGTAAACGTAAGAAGCAAAATACAACACAAGTGAAAGTAAACACTGAGAAATATTCAAATTCGATTTAATCATAACAAAGGCGGTGAAACTATTAGCACAATGTCCATGGCATTATGCAATTTAAATGGTGACGGCAGTGCGGCGCAGTCAACATCGCAGTCGCAGTCGCAGTCGCCGGCCACCGGCGCCGCAGCAGCGCCGCTGCTGTCCCACTCGCACTCGCACACGCACACGCTGCAGCAGGAGAGTACGCCGCTGCTCCTGGGACACGAGCAGAGCGGCAGCGCTGCGGCAGAGGGCAGCGGCGGCGGTGACGTCACTGACGGAGCGGCAACTTCCATTGAAATGCCCACTGTTGCTGCCAACGATGCCGTTGTACCGCCGCTGCCGTTGCCGCTGCCTCTGCCACTGGCGCAGTCGACGCAGCAGCCGCAGCCGCAGTCGCAGCCGCTGCTTATGGCACTGCCAGCCAATCTGAACTTCGTAACGGGACCCACGACGCAGCAACTGATGATCGGTAATGGCGCCATGGGCGTAATGCCCTCGACCAATGATAGCAACAATAACAATAATAACAACAACAATGTGGACAATACTAGCGACGAATCGAACCCGGTCACCATTTACAGGTATAAACAGAGGTCAAAGGTCCTGGACACCCCCTTAAAAAGCCCACCCAACCTTGCATATGTATTTGGTTATATTAGGAACATGTTTAAGTGCCTAGACGATGGAAGAGAATGGTATTCTTCCAAGTTTATGCACATTAATTGACATTTGATCGATTCTGGCCAACGAGTCGTATACGCGATATCTGTAAATTAGTTGCCTGACAACATAGGGCTTAAGCATAAGATAACAAGCTGTTCCAAAAACCAATTGAACAGAATGAAATGCACAGTTAAAAGTAATATGAACACAGTGCGTATACGCAATGTGACAACAGTGCGTATACGTGATAGGATAACAGCGCGTATACGCAATTTGTGAACAGTGCGTATACGCAGCATGGTACCTTTGCGTATACGCAATATGCCTGGAACATTTCCACACTATATTAGTACTTAACGTAAATTTATCGACTTCAAACCATTGTTACTACCATACTAATCCAACTTGACCAATTATTCTCCATTGTAGGTGCCGGGCTCCCATTGCGTCACTCGACTGTATGGAGGAGTTCAGTGGTACGGGCGGTCATCTTGATTTCGGTATCAAATTTCTCACTATCATATAGGCTTATCATTTATGTTGTTTACTGTCGATTGTTTCGACTTTTTCGATTGTTTTCGATTGCCTGCCTCTGCATGCTACCACATACAAGCAAGTATCGCTTGCTTCAAAATAGCCCAAGTAAATGAAACATATACCTACAAATAGTGTACTGTACAAAATGAGCATCAAACTAAAGCACCCACCTCCGCAATACCTGTAGTTCAGCTGTTGGTAATTGTTGGTTTTGTTTAGCGAATTAAGGTGTGGGCGTTGGGCTGCTCAGTTCCATCGAATTCGGGGCCAAAACATGCAATTGAAGTTGTAATTTATTTTATACATTTTGTAAGGTAAAACAACACCACCCACTCGAACCCCTGTCACAATCACGCAATCAAAAAAAAAAACAAAAACAAAAAGAAAAGAAAAGCAAAAGAAAACACGCACCGGACGCACGCACTTTTTATGAAAGGGATAGTGGAAAATGGGGAGAGAACAGGAAAAACCAACGGAAAAATGTCACTTTTGTTTATTCATGTTCATTGCATGTCGCGCTCTTTGTTTTTTATATTTTTATATACACTTTCTTTTAGGGCAGTTTTATTAGCTGTTTAAAAACCCACAACCTTCAGTATTTATACATTTCTATGTTTTATAGTTTATATTTTTAACACGAAATTGCTTAGGAGCTATTTAATTTATACATTTGAGTTTTATATTCCCATTATAATCGTATTTACTTGCAAGAACAGGGAAATGCTCAATGGTACGCGGACCGAAATATTCAAGAGACAGTTTGGGCGGTGGATATTTTTAAGAGTATTGACACTTCGTTAGTCTGATTTGGCCAGCGATTTATTGCGGAATTGCGTTTGTGTTGTTACCATTCTTGTTGCTGTTGCGTTGCTGTTCGTTTTTGCACGTTTCCCAGCACTTTGTAAGCCCCTCCTTTATCCGAAAACAAAATAAAAAGGTCTCCCACTAAACGAAACGCACATACTTTTCCCCACGAAACGAATTGTTTCATTTCCATGCCGGCACTTGAACACACTCGACCACCACGACCGCGATGACCGTCTATTTGGGCATTCCGCTGCGAGCAGGTCGTTCGATCAGCTTGGGCTCCAATCCGGCGCTACCACTGCGCCATGGATCCACACCGACGCCGGGGCTGCGGTACAAGAATCTGGGCAAGAGCGGACTGCGCATCTCGAACGTTGGCCTGGGCACCTGGCCGGTCTTCTCGCCGGGCGTGAGCGATGACCAGGCGGAGGCCATCCTGAAGCTGGCCATCGAGAGCGGCATCAATCTGTTCGACATCTCGGAGGCGCACTCGGAGACGGAGATCGGCAAGATACTGCAGCGGGCGGGCTGGAAGAGGACCGCCTATGTCATCACCACGAAGGTCTACTGGAGCACCAAGTGAGTTGCGATGCCCACCTATTTTTGTATATATTTATATTTGACATAGCTAGCTTTAAGCTGATTCCCTGGCTAATCTCATTCAAAGTTTACGATGTCCTTAAATCATTTGACAATATTTTGACCTTCTAATCGTAGGTCGGAGGAACGCGGTCTTTCCCGGAAACACATCATCGAATGTGTTCGAGCCAGCTTGCAGCGCTTGCAGCTGCAGTACATCGATATCGTCATCATCCACAAGGCAGATCCCATGTGTCCCATGGAGGGTAAGTTGTCCAAACAAAAATGGCATCTGTGAAAGATTAGGAAATATATTATATGTGTTTAATAGAAAACGTAACTAAATGTACCTGAGATCGCCGCAACTTTTGCCCATTTTGTAAACTCTTTTTCATTTCCTTGCCAGAAGTGGTGCGCGCCATGAGCTACGTGATACAGCAGGGCTGGGCAATGTACTGGGGCACCGCTCGGTGGAGCCAGGTGGAGATCATGGAGGCCTACACCAACTGCCGCCAGTTCAACTGCATCACGCCCATTGTGGAGCAGTCCGAGTACCACATGTTCTGTCGCGAAAAGTGCGAGCTCTACCTGCCGGAGATGTACAACAAGATCGGAGTGGGCCTCATGGCCTGGGGTCCACTCTCGATGGCCCTCAGCGACACCCAGAATGGAGACAAGCTCTTCCTGCCCAAGGGCTCCTTCAAGACGAAGAGCTTCTCCTGGACCGAGGACGAGATCAATCGCAATGTAAGTGCCGAATGCAAAATCCTTTTTTTCGCATTTCGGTCATAAAATAATCAGTTTTTTGGCCACAACTTTTAAAATAATTGTCCAATAATGGAATATCATACCTCGTTGAGCTCGTAATTAAATTTCCAATCGAACTGTGTTCAAAAATGGGAACTCAATTTTTTTTTCCATTTTTTGCAAATTTTGATGATGTCACCCCTTACAAAAAATGCGAAAATTGGCCGAAAAATTAAAATTCCAAAATCCGTCAAAAAGTGATAGGGGTCGTTAGCAATGGTAATTAGCTGCTCAAAACAGTTATTCTTTTTTCTTTACGATCATTTTTGGCCAAGATATGACTAAAATGCCCATTTAAAATATTTCAATTTTTGCCAAAATCCATTTTTTCCCATTTCGGTCATAAAATAATCAGTTTTTTGGCCACAACTTTAAAAATAATTGTCCAATAATGGAATATCATACCTCGTTGAGCTCGTAATTAAATTTCCAATCGAACTGTGTTCAAAAATGGGAACTCAATTTTTTTTCCATTTTTTGCAAATTTTGATGATGTTACCCCTTACAAAAAATGCGAAAATTGGCCGAAAAATTAAATTTCCAAAATCCGTTAAAAAGTGATAGGGGTCGTTAGCAATGGTAATTAGCTGCTCAAAACAGTTATTCTTTTTTCTTTACGATCATTTTTGGCCAAGATATGACTAAAATGCCCATTTAAAATATTTCAAATTTTCCCAAAATCCGTTTTTTCGCATTTCGGTCATAAAATATTCAGTTTTTTGCCCACAACTTTTAAAATAATTGTCCAATAATGGAATATCATACCTCGTTGAGCTCGCAATTAAATTTCCAATCAAACTGCATTCAAAAGTTGGAATTTGATTTTTTTGCCATTTTTTGCAAATTTTGATGATGTTACCCCTTACAAAAAATGAGAAAATTTGCCCAAAAATTAATTTTTCTAAATCGTTCAAAAAGTGATAGGGGTGGTTAGATTTGGTAATTAGCTACTCAAAACAGTTTTTCTTTCATCTTTATGATCATTTTTGGCCAAGATATGACTAAAATGCCCAATTAAAATATTCAAATTTTTGCCAAAATCCGGTTTTTCGAATTTCGGTCATAAAATAATCAGTTTTTTGGCCACAACTTTAAAAATAATTGTCCAATAATGGAAAATCATACCTCGGTGAGCTCGTAATAAAATTTCCAATCGAACTGTGTTCAAAAATGGGAACTCATTTTTTTTTCCATTTTTTGCAAATTTTGATGATGTTACCCCTTACAAAAAATGCGAAAATTGGCCGAAAAATTAAATTTCCAAAATCCGTCAAAAAGTGATAGGGGTCGTTAGCAATGGTAATTAGCTGCTCAAAACAGTTATTCTTTTTTCTTTACGATCATTTTTGGCCAAGATATGACTAAAATGCCCATTTAAAATATTTCAATTTTTGCCAAAATCCATTTTTTCGCATTTCGGTCATAAAATAATCAGTTTTTTGGCCACAACTTTAAAAATAATTGTCCAATAATGGAAAATCATACCTCGGTGGCTCGTAATAAAATTTCCAATCGAACTGTGTTCAAAAATGGGAACTCATTTTTTTTTCCATTTTTTGCAAATTTTGATGATGTTACCCCTTACAAAAAATGCGAAAATTGGCCGAAAAATTAAATTTCCAAAATCCGTCAAAAAGTGATAGGGGTCGTTAGCAATGGTAATTAGCTGCTCAAAACAGTTATTCTTTTTTCTTTACGATCATTTTTGGCCAAGATATGACTAAAATGCCCATTTAAAATATTTCAATTTTTGCCAAAATCCATTTTTTCGCATTTCGGTCATAAAATAATCAGTTTTTTGGCCACAACTTTAAAAATAATTGTCCAATAATGGAATATCATACCTCGGTGAGCTCGTAGTTAAATTTCCAAACAAACTGCATTCAAAAGTTGGAATTGTATTTTTTTGCCATTTTTTCCAAATTTTGATGATGTTACCCCTTACAAAAACTGCGAAAATTTGCCCAAAAAATAATTTTTCTAAATCGTTCAAAAAGTGATAGGGGTGGTTAGATTTGGTAATTAGCTACTCAAAACAGTTTTTCTTTCATCTTTATGATAATTTTTGGCCAAGTTATGACTAAAATGCCCAATTAAAATATTCCAATTTTTGCCGAAATCCGGTTTTTCGAATTTCGGTCATAAAATAATCAGGTTTTTGGCCAGAACTTTTAAAATAATTGTCCAATAATGGAATATCATACCTCGGTGAGCTCGTAATTAAATTTCCAATCGAACTGTGTTCAAAAATGGGAACTCATTTTTTTTTCCATTTTTTGCAAATTTTGATGATGTTACCCCTTACAAAAAATGCGAAAATTGGCCGAAAAATTAAATTTCCAAAATCCGTCAAAAAGTGATAGGGGTCGTTAGCAATGGTAATTAGCTGCTCAAAACAGTTATTCTTTTTTCTTTACGATCATTTTTGGCCAAGATATGACTAAAATGCCCATTTAAAATATTTAAATTTTTGCCAAAATCCATTTTTTCGCATTTCGGTCATAAAATAATCAGTTTTTTGGCCACAACTTTAAAAATAATTGTCCAATAATGGAAAATCATACCTCGGTGAGCTCGTAATAAAATTTCCAATCGAACTGTGTTCAAAAATGGGAACTCATTTTTTTTCCATTTTTTGCAAATTTTGATGATGTTACCCCTTACAAAAAATGCGAAAATTGGCCGAAAAATTAAATTTCCAAAATCCGTCAAAAAGTGATAGGGGTCGTTAGCAATGGTAATTAGCTGCTCAAAACAGTTATTCTTTTTTCTTTACGATCATTTTTGGCCAAGAGATGACTAAAATGCCCATTTAAAATATTTCAATTTTTGCCAAAATCCATTTTTTCGAATTTCGGTCATAAAATATCCAGTTTTTTGCCCACAACTTTAAAAATAATTTTCCAATAATGGAATATCATACCTCGTTGAGCTCGTAATTAAATTTCCAATCAAACTGCATTCAAAAGTTGGAATTTAATTTTTTTGCCATTTTTTGCAAATTTTGATGATGTTACCCCTTACAAAAAATGCGAAAATTTGCCCAACAATTTATTTTCTAAAATGCATTAGAAAGAGATAGGGATGGTTAGCATAGGTAATTGGCTGCTCATACCTGTTACTGTTTTAGATCTACGACCATTTTTAGCCAAGTTATGATGAAGAACGAGTTCTTTGAATCGTATTCTTGAAGAAATCGTATTCCTGGCAAAAGTCCTAAAATATGTGAATCTTTCAGGCCGCTCTGTCGCCGCAGGGCAGTTGGGGTAAGGACCGGATCGACGAGGGGCGCCGCCACTGCGACCGCCTCCGTGACCTTGCCGCCCTCGCCGAGAAGCTGGGCTGCAGCCCCACCCAACTGTCCATCGCCTGGTCGCTGAAGCATGAGCCAGTGCAATGCTTGTTGCTGGGCGCCACATCGGCGGAGCAGCTGCACCAGAGTCTGCAGTCCCTGCAGGTGACTATACATACATACTCGTACATATAAGTATATAATCCTAGGTTGAAGGCTAAACATTGAAAAAGAAAGAGCATCTGTATGCTGTAGATCGTTGGATCCTTAAAGATTTGTACACATGCCTGACATATCCTGCCATTGCAGCTGCTGCCACGACTCTCGTCGAGCGTTATGCTGGAGCTGGAAAGGATTTTGGAGAACAAGCCGGTGCGGCCGCCGATGATCTCCACCTTGGCGCTCCGGTGACAATCAGCGTGCCCGCAGGGGCCGCTCAGCCTGAGCGGTGGCGGACCCTGCGGCGCCGATTCGCCCAAGCACGAGGATGAGGCCTTCATCGAGGAGGTGGACGCTGCCAAGGACGCTGCCAAGCAGGGCTTCTGCCTCATCCAGTGACAAAAGGAGTCCTTAGATAATGATAATAAATTTTTGAAAGTGATTAGCAGTAAAACTAGCCTAAGTAGCAATACCATGACGACAACAATAAGCAAGCAGGAGCAGCAGCAGCAGCAGCAGCAGCAGCAGCAACAGCAGCAACAGCAGCAGCAGCAACAGCAGCAGCAGCAACAGCAGCAGCAGCAGCAGCAGCAGCAGCAGCAACAGCAGCAGCAGCAACAGCAGCAGCAACAGCAGCAGCAACATCTCCAGCATCAGCAGTTTGTGCAACTACAGCAGCAACATTTGGTGACCAGCGATTCGTCAGCTGTTCCCATCGCCGCTGACCTTCAGTTCGACACCCTGAATAATAATAACAATAATAACAACGGCAGTCCCGATCAGGCACTGCCCACCAGCGATGATCGCCAGAAACGTCGCTCCCTGCTCAACTTCAAGTCCCTGGACTTCCATCTAAAGTCCCTGTACAGCGGGCTACGGAGCACCTCGGGCACAACTCCACCCAGTCAACCGAATAGCTCGATTCCGGCGGTGGATCAACCGCAGCGCAGGACGCCCTATTTGCGGGTGGAGAGTGTGGATCCCGAGGAGCCGAGAGGATCTGTTCTGCCAGGACACTCGCCCAGCTTCCTGTCACCCTACAGTGGCGTTGGCGGTGGTGGCGCAAGCCTGCAGTTGCCCGCAGCAGATGGAGGCACCATCAGGAGATCCTCGACCTCGGACATAGTTAATTGCCGGCGGGGAGGAGGGGCAGCAGGGGGATCGGGCGGATCTGCCCAGGACAGCAGGAGGCCCAGCACCTCGGATTTGCTCAGGAAGGCGAGGGAACGGAAGGGCAGCGAGGCCAGGATGGGCAGAAGTGTCTCCCACAGTGGACTAACCAGGGGCGGACCCGGCGGAGGAGGTGGTGGCCTGGGCGGCAGACGAACCAGCATGGCCTTCTAAAACTACAACAAAAAAATACAAAAAATGGAGAAAAAACGATGGACAAAAAGAAAACTTAAGCAATGAGGGATGGCGAAGAAAAACTGTTGATCAAATCTGAATCAGAAATAGGCTGACAAAATGGCGCTTATGAATTTTTATCTAGTGAAATGAAAATGAAAAAAAAAACACAAAAAAACAAAACAAGAAAAAAATAACAATAATAGAGCAGCTATTAAGGAACGACTTTTTTTTGTGAATCTATTATCATTATGATTATAATATGGTTACTACAATTGCGCCTCGAAGAACTAAAGTTAGTAGATAAATTAAAGCAAGTAATGAACAGAAACATAACATTTCATCGCTCTTGAACTTTGTATCTATCTCTATCTCTCTCTCCCCCTCCCGGAATTTTAAATATATATATATGCATATGTATATTTAGAGAGCCCCCAACTTTTATGACAATATTAGAACCTAACTATTGTGTACTATCGTTAATTATCGCCTGGCAAAAGCTCTAAACTAACCTGCGTTTCGACCCAAAAACCAACAATGTTTCAAGATCGATCCATTATATCACCACACTGTGAGAGTTCATATCAAGCGAGATGGACGAGGAATGGTCAAGGACGATGGACGAAGGATGATGGTTACCCAAATATGTACTATGCTATGGGATAGTGTCTTTTTCATTAATCGATTAGTAGACTTAACGAGTGTTAAACGATTGTTAACGATTGACTTGAGGCGAGGCGCTGAAAATGGGGAGCGACTAGCGACTAAAGATTACTATGTGCGATATGGGAAAGGATAACTTGTCGTATGAATAAATTTTAGCTAAACTAATGAACAAGTAAACGAGTATAAAGGAAAACTCAAATGGAAAACAAAGTAACAATTCAAATCAAATCTTATTAAATAGACATTACTAGCATTATGTAGTTAATTAAATAACAACAATTCAAGCGAAATTTTTTTAAATCAACAAACGAAAAACAAAGCAAATGCCTTTCATAACAGCAACAACAACAACAAATTTATATTTTAAATATATGCAGTATATATATAGATATACACACACACACACATATGTGAAAATAACGAAAGCGATGAAATAAAACAAAGCAGCAACAAATTGTTATTAATTAATTGTAGTCCATTATCCCGATGGCCCATATCCCATATTTCATATACATACATAAGTGAATGAAACACCAATATAGCAATATGTAGGATATACATATAGAGGAGTTCCCGAACACCCTCCCGAATACCATGTATTTTACCATCATTATCGAGTACATATATAAAGTCTTTCTCACATACGGACTGTGATTTCATATAAAAGTAAAACGTAAAAGTAAACAAGTAAACAATTAATTATTATATCTAACCTAATGTAATTAAAGGCTAAGTTCATTCGGAAGATCTAGCAGATACACACCCAGACCCACACACACACGCACACACATTGCCCCCCAAGAAAAACACGCATGTAATTTGAGGATCTGTTCGAAAAACAGAAGCATAAATAGCAATTTTCAAATCGAATGGCATTATATACTAATACAGATACTATACACTTAATTAACCAAATGCGATTGCCTTAATAACGAATAATGAATTAAAACACTGGATCTAATCAGATCGGATCGGATATAACCCAGTCGGGCCGGTTTCCTCAAACTTCAGTTCCAAATCGGAATACATTATATACACGCAACCATTCGCATATATATTCCCCGCACTGTTGCTTGAGAAATCGCCCCGCGCAGCGAAATGCAATATATACATTGGTTTAGCTCCATCGGATCATTCACAGAACAAATATATATATATATACGAGTATATATAGGAAGTACTTATATATACGAGAGTAATTGCATTTTTTAGTAAGTAGTTAATCCGTCCTCAACAAACGGCCAACCAAGAAGCAACAAGTTATTGCGATCGGGCGCTGCTCAATTGATGACCCAGAGCGAAATTTCCGAAATATTGCAAAAATCTGACAAATTCGTACTTTTGGGCAGACACACAATTAAAGTGTACTTCATATTTTACAGCTTGTCCTTAGCTACTTTTCAAATTTCTCAATTATAGGTCATTGTAAAGATTAGAGTTTGTTATTTGGAGGTTGTGATATTTATTGAAAAATTGCTGAAAAAATCAAATACATATCTGCAAATGGGCGAACTATGTTACTTTGATACATTTTTATGTGTTCAGCTCACTAAAATTGAAACTATCTGTATTAGCTATATTAGCCCTTAGGTTGCCCAAAAATGTTTTTCTTACTACATATTTAGTTTTTCTAGCCTCGAGTTAATTACAAACATAAATAGAATGCATGTTTGGTTATTTTTAGCTTAATGAGGAGCTTAGACCTTTGAAGCTTCTGTTTTTTGCCGAAGGGGTTATCAATTAAGAAGCAGCGCCTGTCGGTATATCCAATCATCAATTGTGGCCAAGCCCCCTAAAAAGTAAAACGAAGAAAAAACAGCCACGTCGTGTGAACCGGAAAGCAATAATTCAAAATGCTGCTGAAAAAAAGTTCAACTAACAAATGGATGTACATACATAAAGTCGCAAGAAAAGTAATGAAGCACATACACGCAGCAGTTGCATTATGAGATTAATTTTAGTCTGTTGTTATCGCAATTATTATCACTATTATTATGATTACGATTATTATTAACACGTAGCTAGTTAAATCGAATGAGAATTAGCAATTTATACGCCTAAGCCTGAGAGTAACCACAATTACACTCACACCACACTCATGCCACACACTTCCTTACAACTACACTGACAAAAAGAAAACTAAACTAAGGAAATGCTAAGCAGCAAACCAAAACAAAAATGTAACGGAAAGTATTAGGAAGCAGAGGAGCGTAGCGTTTAAATCTAGAAAACAAAATTTTACTTTACATCAAAACAGAAATATTTATAACAATTGCAATAACTAACAAACGAGAAGCGATATAATGGAAGCGTATATATAATAATATATCTTAAAATTATTTTCTTATCGAAAGTGGCAATAATAAATATTAATATAAACTTAAACAACTAAATAATTATATTATACACGCGCGAGAACTTTGTAAGTTAACTTTGCATAGAGGACACACTTTGGATCGAATTACACTGAGAGAAAAGCTCGCACACACACGCCAAGCGTTTACCCACACCCACACACACACACACACACACACTCACACACAGACAGTCGCGCAGGAAGTTCGATCATCATTTACCGTTAATGCACCAGTGTACACCCACACAACTACACACAAAGAAATCAGCTTTACTTTAGATTTTCGATAATTAATTGCAGGGTTGTCGCCTAGGGTTGCTTAGAAATCGATGGGAAAATCCAATTCAGACGCTTGCATATAGGCGTAGATAAGAAAATATATACAAAGTACATACATAACAAGCAATATCGCAATAGCGCTCGTATTATTTCGCTAAGTTACTAGAAAACCGAATAATAAATAACAGACAAACCTCTTTGATTACCGTACGTATAAAATGCAAATTCGCGCGATTGCGCGATTGCGCGATGGATGGATGGATGGATGAGGGCAAATTGTTTACACTTCACTTTTAAAACCACATTTAATACTAATATTTCGAAAAGCTAATTAAAATAGGTTATAACAATAACGAACAACAACAAAAACCAAAACAAAAACAACAACAACAAGACGAAGAAGAAGACGAACAACAAGAACAATGAACAGCAAAAAACAACACAGCTAAAATACTGAAAAATTATATAAAAATACAAACTCTTATCTTTCAACCAAAGAAACCTGTGTTTTTCATTACCCAACTATTACATTTTCAGTATTCAAAATCAACAGAGCTTCTGAAAGTATTCAGTTCAAAAGTCCGAGGCCCATACATTCTAAAAAATTAAAAACTAAATATATTCGAAACACCGCTCTGTCAACACAATGTGTTGTCAGTATGTAAAACAAAGAGCCAACGCCTGCGGAATTTTGGTAAAAACACATTTCAATCGACACATTTAAATAAATACGAGTATGACATATCGTAAACCACATTTTTGGGTTGCATAACGCGGCACTGCCCATTGATTAGTTGGCGACTATTTGCACACACCACGTCAAATTGGGCGCATTATGCTAATTCCCCAAAGCCATTCAGATGCCGATTCAGATCCAGAGAGCTCCGGACTCTGGGAACCCGGCCTGCCCCAACATGAGATGCTGTGACACCCTGAAGTCCCACTGTGCAAGCAAAGCAGCCAGTCCAATGCACAGTGGAACGTGAAAGAAACTGAAATATATTTGAGCAACTCACTGAATATCTGAAATCCCACTGAATATTTATTGTGTATCAGTTCTGATAAATCTCATAACATTTCTTTAACGCTAAGCAGCTATGGCCACGCTGTTGGCCATAAACATTTGGGCCATTAAAAAATGTTTAAGCAAATGGTCGGCATGCAAGCACTTAATTACTCTTTTACTTTCGATCATAAACTTGCACTTTTCGGGCCCAAAACGAAATATTTGTAACCATCCATTAGCCAGCTTAGTCTCAATGGTCAATTCATCTCGTTGGTCTACAGAAGTTCAACTGTTTTCTTTTCGATGCTGTTTGTATCTTCTTGAAACTGGAAACTGGAACTAAAACTTCAAATTGTGCTGGCAACGGGGGTCATCGGCGATTTGGGGGGGAGGGGGTAAGGGTCCGAGTGGGAAAGAGACGGGTAGTGTGGGCTGCGCATGCGCAACAGCGCGCATTAAATAATTTATACAAAAATGCACAGAAAATTAACAAATTTGAAAACGATGTTGCATGATATAATAGTCCGGCTGCCGCTGCCTGGGATTCCGAGATGCCAATCCACGATCACCGACCGCCGGCCCTTCCCAGCCAAAATTTCTGTTGCAATACAAGCATACGTACACTGGGCGAAAAGTGTTGAGCCACTCGCATGATTTCAAAGATGGAAATAGAAGAAAGCGAAGTTGATAGGGAAAATGTCGAAATGTACTACAGATAATGTAATAATAATTAATAGCTATTCATAAATTTATAATTATTAATAATTATTTATTAAATAATTATATAATTTATTTTTATTTAATTTATTACATTTAATTAATTTAAGTAAGAGCGACGGGCGTGTACAAACTTTAGAGCTAAAATCAAATTAATAATCTTTATAATTTTACTACCAAATCCACCTTCAAAAATTTTTTCATAATTTTATTCGTTTAAATAAATTTAATGTAACCCATTATTACTTAAATATTAGCTACACCTTGATCTGATATAAATTTTTATTAAAATTATTGAATATTATTATTGTTATAAAACATTCTGATAACGACGGTAGAACAGATTCCAGCTCGTGACCCGAGTTTGTTTGCAGTGTAGGCGGCGAACCGTTCAAATCGATAATCGTATGCAAAAAGCCGGTCACTTGGTTGCGGTGACTTGACCTACGACGCACCTCGTCCAGGGAGCGGAGCGCATCTGCTTAAGCTTTAACTGGTTAAATAGTGTTATCCGCTTGAGTTTGTTATTGTTATTATGTTCGTGTTGGTGTTATTGTTTTTGTTTGTGTTTCTGCGTTTTCAAATGATTTGGGCAGTTTGAGAAATAGATGAACACGATTGCCGCCAACAGGGTGCTTTTTCATTGCCACTCGTATTGGATCAATCATTATTTTCGTATTTTAATCAAAATTACTGGAATAATTCCTTATATATTACTATAAACCCACTTTAATCATAGTTGTTTGCTTATGACTGGTACTCCTGCAGAAGGCTGACCCAAAACCAGTTCATAGTTTTCGAAATGGTTTCGAAAAATGGAAAAAAATGGTTTATATAGTTTCCAATTTCACTGCTACAACATTCAACGCACACATTTTATTTATTAATAATCTTCGAGAGATCATAACATTACCTTTTACCCACCTCCTTCGCCGGAAGCACGCACCCTGTATCGCCCCATTGAGATCTCAGGTGAATTTCGAGAGCAAGATGGTCTTCGGTGGGCTTAGGCAGGTGATGACTCCACATCGATGGCTCTCGGTCGCTGACGTCACGGGCCATCGCCGCATCTAACGGTTTGTGTTGGAGCGCCGGCGGAACTCTTGTATAAAAACGTTGGATCTGGCGGAGATCGTCATCATTCGCTAGCCGGGAACAGCTCGACGCACAGGTGTCGTCTCCGATTCCAACTACATATTTCCAATTTAAAGCAGAGATAGCTCAACGCTGAAATGAAGGTGAGTTGTGGCATCAACGGATGTGGATTACCAGCTGGCTGTGTGCTAAACGGATTACCTTATCGCCAGGTCTTCATCTGCCTGTTGGCCACCATCTGCGCCTGCAATGCCACCTTCCTGTCCCTTTTGGGCGGCGGCGGCGGCGGAGGAGGAGGAGGAGGTGGCGGATTAGGAGGTAGCAAGACCACCTACAATGTGATAGCCACGCCCAGTTCGGGAGGCGGCGGGGGCGGCGGATACTCATATGGCCAGGGAGGCGGCGGTGGTCAAGGCTATGCGCAGGGACATGGCTACGCGCAGGGCGGTGGACATGGACCCGGTGGCTCCTCGCAGATCATCAAGGTCATTCTGCAGGAGGGTCAGGGCTACAGCAACGCTGGAGGATCAGCCGGCGGCATTGTGTCCTCGGGTGGTCATGGCTACAGTCATGGATATGCCAGTGGCCACGGCTCCTATGGCGGCCAGCAGGCCCAGATCTACAAGATCATCGAACAGGCCCCGGCTCCAGTTCCAGTTCCAGTTCCAGTCCCAGTCCCAGCTCCTGCTCCCGTTCCCGTTCCCATTCCGATTTCGATTCCCGCCCCTGCTCCGCCAGCTGCGCCCATTGCCTATCATGCTTCCAGTGGCTCCAACGGCTACTCCTATGGCCAGGGCCAATCGCACTCCTACGGACAATCGTATGCTTCGGGACATGGCTATGGTGGTGGCGCCTCCTTCGATGCCCAGCAATTCAATGCCATCCTGCCGCAGATCATCCAGTTGGTGCTGCAGGAGGATTCCTTTGGCGGCGGCGGCGGCGGCGGCGGCGGTGGATCCGCTGATGTGGCTGCCATCAATGGCCAGCTGATCAACGCCTTCGGCTCCAAGGGCAAGGCCATCATTTTGAAGAGCGATCAGGCGCAGGGAGCCTTCTTTAAGAGCGGACATGTGGTGCAGCGGGGAACCCTGAAGGTGATGCGCGTCCAGGAGCAGCAGCAGTCCCAGGGCGCTGGTGGCTCCAAGGGAGGCTGGAGCTCCGGTGGAGGTGCCATTTCCGGTGGCTGGAGTGCCGGAGGAGGTGGCTCGTCCGGTGGCTGGAGCGCCGGAGGAGGTGCCCCGTCCGGTGGCTGGAGCAGCGGTGGTCCACCTTCGGCCTGGTAGATGCACTGCATCCGCAGCTCGCCTAGTTAGTTAGACCAAATGAATTGTTTTTTTTCACTATCTTCTATTCTATCGTTATGTATTTTTTTTCCTAGGCTAATCCTTCACAGTCATTATCAAAAACAAAAAAACAAAAACGATAAGCAAACATCCATCATTATTAACCTAAATTATTTGTTAATAAACCATTTGAACCAATTTGAAGTGTTTTATTTATGTAACACAAATGAGTGGCCATAAAGGTAAAAAGTGGAAATAAAAGAAATGGTGTTAATGGGTAACCAAATTCCAAAGACACTTTCCATAAAAGACGTAAATAATTGTTGCAAAATAGCCAACTCAATCACACTTAAACAAAAAAGCAGCAGTTCAAGTTATTGTTACACTATTTTCCCACAATTATTTCTAAACGACAGGTTCATCATAACAAAGCATTTATTTGATTTTGAAAAATGTTGCCACAGGCCTAAATATTTGTAAAGAAACAATTTGTAAATAATTAAATACATCATTGCGCTTCGAAGAAATAAACAAATTCAAATGATCTTCAAAAACTTGTTTTGCTTACCCAATTTCATTTTCAAGGCTGAGAAAAGCAAAAGAAATCACAGAAAAGCCTCTTCATCATTAACTTATATTATTTGTTAATAAATAAATGGCCCAAGCATATGTATGCAAAGCCAACAACAAAAAATGTGTAACTTGTTACGCGATTACATCACGACTTTCATTGATGATGACGAGATGCCCCTTGGATGGCAACAGTTTTGTTTTGAATTGATTGCCCGTCGCTGGAGTTGCGAAATACTGCCACACACGGCTGTCCAACTGCCCCACCTCCGATCGCCGGACCCAATTTCAGATTCGACTCCCAGACGCCGGGGCTTCCAAGTCAAAGGTGAAATTAACAAGATGCTGTGCTGACCCAAAGAGATGGCGACGTGAAGCACGAGATTTCACGATTAATTCAGCCCAACTTGTTTCCATGAGCTTCTTTTCGAAAATAATAGTTTAAACTCTACTTTGCCTATTTAAATTTAAACTCTGGCTTTCACTTGCTCCTCACGCGACCAACTCGATTCCCTGCCACATGCTGTGGACCAAATTGATTTCGGATGTGGCTGCCAATTATGTGGATACACATGGGGAGCTTGAACGGATTGCCGAACAAAAATCAAGCGAAAGACGCAGGGCATATAATATTACAAATACTTTTACAAAGTATAATTCGATTTATTAGCAATACATAATAATTAGCATACGGTAATCGTTCGGGTAACACTCAGTGGACACCGATTATGTGTTGTGTTTGGGGTTTTAGTTAAGCACACGTTAATACAGACATAGAAGGGACCACGACCACTTTGCCGGCTCTTAAACTAGGTAAGGGGTTAGTAATACTTTCGATAGCCGGCTAAATTGCGCGCTGGAACAGGTGGGCCAGCAGCTCGGCCTCGCTCAGATCCATTTTGTACTTCTGGACAATGTCCTGCACCTTGAGTCGTCGCCGCACATGAGGCGGTTGGTAGCTAAAACAAAAAGGGGAGATGCAATTAGGTTGTGAATGCACAGATAGGCGGATCCCCTCCCCATTTACTTATCGTTGTCCAGACGCCGGCGGCGTGATATGTTCAATGCCGTTTGTCGCACCAGATTGCCGACGACTCGCCGGCTCAGGACCATGCCATCGACCAGAGGCGTGGCAAAGCTCATCCTTCCCGGCGGACCCTGCAACTTTACTCTCAGAAGGCCCGAGAGCAGGGAATGCACAAAGATCACGTGGCAGTCGGAGGCGCGAGGCAGCTGCTGCGTGTGCAGCTCCTCGCCAGTGCGCGTATAGGCCAGCAGATCCTCCAGCGGAAAGTTTAGGTAGTCCTCGTAGCTCTCCAGCCACACCAGAAAGATCTTGGCCGGCGCCTGGGCCAACAGCGTGGGTTTCGTCACATTTCCTTTTCGCCGCGTCGGCGGCACTGGCTCCTTTGCATCCCTGCGATTCGTGTCCAGTTCTAGACTAAGATTCCTTGACTTGGATTTCGCCAGGCCAGCCGCACTATCGCCCTCTCCGCGGGCCCAGACATTGCTGGAGCCAATCTGATCCGTGCTCGAGATGCTGCCACTATCGCTGGGATCGCTGTTGTATCGCAGGTTCCACGTCGTGGGCACCACGAAGGCGATTTCCGAGGATACATCCGCCCAGTAGAGCACCCTCTGTGACCCATTGTAGTTCAGCTCGTGGGCAGTGGACTTTAGCTGCTCCTCGGGCGTTCCCTTGAGTGACCACGAGTTGTGGGCAAAGCCCGTCCAGCCAGAGTGCTCCGAAACCTGCACCGGCCAGCCCAGCGTTTGCAGCATGCTGGCGAAGTGCGGATCATGGCCGGCAGACTGTTCCTCGGCCATATTGGCGATTATCTGCTGGGCACTCGTTTGACCACTCTGCACATATTGCATAAGTTAGCATACAACTCGAATTGTGGGGAGTGTTATTGACTACTCACCTTCATATAGAACACATAAACGGAGTCGTGCGTCCTCGCACTCAGCTTGTCCAATCGATCCAGGTCGGCGGCGAAGGCTGTGGACTTGGTGTCCAGCACGATCAGCGGTCGCTGTGGCGGATTGCCCAGTGCCTCAGCTGGATTTTGTGGATTCCGCGTCTCGAAGCCCAGGAATCCAAAGTGTGAGAGGAAGAGACGCGCCGCATGGAACTCGTGGCACACCGCTGGCGGCACACATTCCTGCGCGTGCGACAAGCTATCCGCACTGGTGTCCGCCTCCGCCCAGGCCAGTTTCTCGTGGATGCTCTGGTTCTCCAGCATCGACTCCAGCTCCCGTATGCCAGCGGTGCCGTATTGCTCGCGCATTTGTTCGATGGTGGGTATGGAGTAGTCCGCCACACATGGCTGCACTTTGTCCACGCCGTCGGGGAAGTTCTTTTGCTCGCTATCCAGCCGCTGCGTCACATCGTTCATGGGTATGGGCCTGCCCGGATTCACGGCATGGTACTTAATCCCAGACTTACTGCGAGGCAGATGGCGCAATTGCATGGTCCAGGCATGTCGGCCAAACGGACCGCGTATGAGCACTAGAATAAAGACAAATTCTCATTAGCCAAGTGCAGGCAAGAGTTGCGGATGATAAAAACATACGCGTCACTGTTGGCTGGGGATCCTGGTCGTTGCCCAACGGCTCCTCAAGCAGTGCCAATATGGTGGAGTTCTCGGTTACGAAGTACTTAAACTTGGCAATGGCCTGCTCGCTGCTGGCCGCCGCCGCCGGCACCATCGAGTTGCAGTGCTTCATGAGCGCCAGCTCATCCAACAGCGAGGATATGGACTCTGGACCGCACTCGCTGGGGAAATAGCCCACTTGCTCCAGTATAATGGTGAGCAGATTCTCTGCAGCATCTCGCACTCTCATCGAGGCGGGCTTTAGCTCCTTTTCGTCCTTAAATTTGGGTATGTCGGTGCCCTTGCTCTGGCTCTTGGTGCCCGAAATGCCCAGCTCCACCACCTCGAGGACCGTTTGTAGGCAATCCTTGTCCTGCAGCAAATAGGGATGCTGCATCAGCCAGGCGGCGGTGCACTGAAAGGCCGCCACAATGGTGCTGTGCAGATCCTTGCTGTGCGCCGGCGGCGGACGGGAGCACTGGTAGCAGATATAGTCACAGATCCACTTCACGGCCCGCTTGCACTCTAGAGCGTCTGAGGAGATTATCGTTAGATTCTGACTAGCTTCGTATATTTTGACTAAGGTGTCTACGTGGGCGATTTGGATGAGTGGTGGTTGGTGGTGGTGGTGGTTGTGGTGGTTGTGGGTTATATACATTCGTTATCGGTTGGAGATGCAAATTAAATATACACATATATTATACATATATAGAAACAAATTGCAATCGTCGTGAGTTGATGGATGGCGATGTGGGTGAGGTGGATCATATTATATATTATATATTAGGTTTTTATTTTTTGTTTGTTTATTCGGGATGTGGTGCAGTGGTGGTGGTGCAGGTCGATGGCGGTTAGAAAAAGAAACGCGTCAAAAAAAAGAAAGAAAGAAAGACAGAAGAAAGTGGCGTTAGTTAGGTTAGTTGGCTTCGTCAATCAATTACCATTTGTAAATTTCCTGGCTGCGCAGTAGAGCAAACAGTTGGGGTTAAGTGAATTAGGTGGATTAAGTGGTTTAAGTGGGTGAGTGGATATTTGGAGGTGTTTACAGCGGGGTTAACATTCAAAGGATACGCACATGGTAACAGTTCGAAAATAAACAAACAGAGGTGGACAGAAAACAAACGACATTAAAATCAGGATAGGAAAGTGCAGCCTCGGTGCCACCGAAGCCTCTTGATGCTCCTGCAAAGGATTTGTAATGCATCCTATACAGTCGCCGCTCTGGGCTCATAAAGCCTTTGCAGGAGCATATGCACACCAAAATGATATGCGATTCCCGAGAAGCAAACGTTACCTGTTTCCCGGATATGCAACCTGGCCAGGCCGGACAGCAGCTCCAAGGCGGCCAACGAAACATTCAGATCCGTCTTCCACGACGAGATCAGCCGATGGCAGACCAAGTATGTGGCGCGCACAAATAGGGCGTGGGCATTATCTGAAAGAACGAATTGTATTAGTTTGAGAAACACAATATTTTTAAAATTAATTTAAAGTGTAATTAATTGTTAATGTCAATCCAGAGACCACCAAATAACAAGAGGTTAGCTAGCAACTTAATACAAATAGAATCAAGTCTTCTAACACAAAATACAAAACAAAGTTTACCATAGGTGGTCACCCCCTCCAGTTCCTGGCCGAACTCGAATGACATGTCATCGGAAATGGTCAGGCTGGGGTAGTCGTGGGCGGAGGCGGTGTCGCGGATGGAGCCCGATCCCGCTCCCATGGTGGCCGTCGTCTGGCCGCCCAAGCTGGCTGTGCCAGCGCTGATCAGCGAGGCGGAACGCTCCGAGCACGCTGATCATCCACAGCCCACAAAAAACCAAAAAAAAAAAAAAACATAAAAATGGCAAAAGGAAATGCGCATAAAAACGTGGGCAATTAAATAATACACAAGTTCCAACAAATCAAAATGGAATTAGTTCAAGAGCAATGGAGCTGCAGAAACTCACCCGAACTCAGCAGATTGGCGTCGTGGTGCTGCACAGCACTGGAGTTGTGGGTGAGATTGGCATTACCGCCGCCGCCCAG